ATTTGTATGTGACGTAGAACTGGTTAAATTATTTTGTTACTTGATCATTTAGGTTCATTCCTATTTATCTCTATATTCTAGTTTGATGTGTTTTTGTCTTTTGGAAAGTACTTTGGCATATTTTATTTGTGGATATTTTACAACTTTTTTTTTATTTGTATTTAAATGTAGAATTGAAGCTGCGAATATTGAAGTAGTCAACTTGAGCTCGCCAAATATTGATGATATACTCAATGAAGGCCTTCGAATTGGAACGGAGTTCATTTATGTAGATGATGCTTGGGATTGTTGGCAAAAATATGGCAAAAGGATAGGCTTTGGTGTTCGAAAAGATTATTCAAACAAGCGGAGAAAGGATGGAGTAGTTACAAATGCCGTATTCGTATGTTATAAAGAGGGGTTTCGTAAAGATGACAAAAGGGTCAACGATAAATCTCGTCAACGCTCTTAGGTAAGAACTGGTTGCCAAGCAAAGTTGAATGTAGCACTAAACCCGATTTCTGGAAAATATATTGTTAAGGATTTTGTGGCGACTCATAATCATGAGCTTGAGTCAAATGAAACCGTTCATATGTTTCGTTGTAATAGGAATGTAAACATGTCTCAAGCATTTGCCAGCAACATCGCAAATGATTCTGGAATTACCCCTAAGGCAACTCAAGAGTTGTTGATTAGGGAGGCTGGTGGTAGAGAGCATCTTGGATTTATTAAAGAAGATCAAAAAACATATTTGAGAAATAGAAGAAAGAAAGAAAAAATATTAGGTGAGCTTGGTAGTGTTATGAAGTATTTCGAGAGGAAAAAAAACCATTGATGCTTCATTTTCTTATGATTTTGAGTTTGATGATGGTGGCCTGGTGAGTAACATATTTTGGGTTGATGGTAAAATGAAAGTCGATTATGTTGATTTTGGTGATGTTATTACATTCGACACGACATATGGGACTAACAAAGAGTTGAGACCCCTTGGCGTTTTTACAGGTTTTAATCATCATAGAGAGATCACCATGTTCGGTGCTGCCCTCTTATATGACGAGACAGTAGAGTCATTTGTTTGGCTCTTCGAGACATTCTTGAGGGAACACGTTGGAAAGAAACCTCTCACCATATTTACTGATCAAGATGCAGCAATGGCTAATGCACTCGGTATAGTTATGGGGGATTCTTTTCATGGCTTGTGCACGTGGCATATTAATCAAAATGCACTGAAGCATTTATCCTGTTTTCATAGGCCTGAAACCGACTTATTGGGAGATTTTAATCGATGTATGTATGAGTATACTGATGTTGATGAGTTTGAAGCTTCTTGGAGTAATATATTACAAAAGCATGACTTACAAGAGAACTCTTGGTTGAAGCGAACTTATGCTGTAAAGAATAAATGGGCAAGGTGTTTCATGAAAAGTGTTTTCACTTTGGGTATTCGTAGTACGCAACTAAGTGAGAGTTTGAATAAAGATTTAAAAAATCATTTAAATTTTGCTTTACATATCAGTGATTTTTTTAACCATTTTGATCGAGTGGTGGCTGATAAAAGAGATAAGGAGATGGCTTTTGAATTTAGAGCACGACAACAAGTTCCCTCTATGAGCATCGCCGAGTGCCGATATTACAAAAGGCATCAAAAAGGTACACACCATCAATATTCCATCTTTTTCAAGAAGAGTACAAGCGCTCAATGATATCTATAATTAAAGAAAAAGAGACTACTGAGGTGCCTACTTGGTTCGTGATTGTGCTTCATGGTGTTTTTCATAAAGAATTTCATGTGCTTTGTGTTAGCGATGATTTCTTCTCGTGTAGTTGCATGATGTTCGAGAGTAAAGGATTCATCTGTTCTCATATTTTGAGGGTATTCAAGTTTTTTGATATATTAGAGCTTCCCGATAAGTACATATTAAGTCGGTGGGAACGAAAAACAAGGAGATTTGATCATTCAAAATCCAAGGATATTGGTCATAATTTCATGGAATGGAACGGGAGAATGCATTCATTGTTTTTGAGAATGTCATACCAAGCTTCAAAGAGTGCGGTTGCACGTAGCCTAATGGAGGACATGTTTGAACAAAACATGGACAAAATCTACGAGGCTTCAATGAGAGAAGAAATTTCCAAAGATGGTGATATCTTTAAAAATGTAGAAAGTTCCATTGGAAACTTGAAAGGTCTAAAGATGAAAGAAGGAAAACGGCGAACAAAAAGAATGAAGCCCTTACATGAGGTTCGAAAGAAGAAAACCAAGAAATTTAATGTGCAAGTTGAAGAGGTAGTTGAATTTACATTTTTTTAGAATGTCAAGCATGATTTAATTTCTAATGTTGATGTTCTTTTTGCCTAAACCTTTGTACGGTCCCGTGGCGATACAAAATACCAACCACTCGTAGGAGGCGTTTTTGCTTTCTCTACCGGATCACGATCTTGTATTTTTTTTATTTTTTATTTTTTTTGTTTTTTGAAGAATGTCATTGTTTAGATTACTCCAAATTGTAGTTAATTTCTCTTGTATTGTTTTGCCATGTAATCAAATTTATGGCATATTGTACAATTTTCTGAATGTTGCCTCAGTAGGTCTATTAATCTACCCACAAGCCGGGCTCTATGTAGTTGTAGTGGAGCTTTAAGGCAGAAGAAACTTGATTTGCATTATTTTGTTTGAATAAGGTTAAGTTAATGGAGGCCTAATCATAGGTGTTTGTATGGTTTGATGTATTTATNGAATGAATAGTTTTTTGCTTTTGTTTTATAGTAACTAAAGATCAAATCTAATGGCTACAAATTCACAGCAGAGTTACTGTGTAAGTGCACTGCAGGCACCCTTTATCCGCACAACAGAACAACACAAAAATGGGTCGCAATAAAACGTAAGAAATAAAAAAACCTCTGCAGTTCAGGAAGAGCTTGATGAACCACGAGTGGAGGCGGACGCCATCGGAGGAAGTGAGCCAGACATCCTCGTAGAGGAGGCGGAGCCTGGCGGGGGTGATTACGTAGGATCTGGCGAGCCCGGGCAAGACCGGAACGTAGACGAGCTTCTCCTGAAAGGCGACAAGCAACGCCATGCCGGCCACCGCAATCCCGCCAGCACCTTACAGTAGAGCGCCGACGTACGAAACCATGGACTCGATGCCCTTCGTCCCCCTCGAAACGTTTTTCAAGCTCTACTCAACTCCGTAGAAGCTCCCACGCGTGTATCAATGTATTTGTAGCACGGCGGGAGGTTGACGATCGCCGGTTCGTTTTCCGGGCCGGAGCTTCGAGAAGAACGGCGTGTGGTCCCCTTGCGATTGAGGCATTGAGCTCATATTTTGAATTTTTTTAGACTTTAAAATAATTGTTTATATTTTTTACATCTCATCTAATTATCAAAATAAAATAAATACAAATAATGAATATATATTATTAAATATTTTTCTTTACACAATATTTTTTATTTAAAAAATATTGTTAAACCTTGCTGTTTTAATTTTTTTAAAAAAAAACTCAATTATCTAATCAATAATTATTAATGTAAAAAAACATAGTGTAAAGAATCCACACTTTAAAGTAAAACTATTTTTTATTTTTTATTTTTATACATCAAAATCATCTAGTTTTTTTAACAACTTTTCATATTCCAATTTCAATGTTACTTCATACCAATTTATTCAATGATCAACCAATAGTCAAATTACTGATCAAATTAGAAGAGAAAATCTAAATATTATTCTATATCATATTTTTTTCTTTCTTATTTATTTTTTTATCAAACAATTAATAGAAAATCCTATTTCCATCATATATTTAATTATTATAAAATCAAATTCAATCTAATTAAAGTAACAATTTAAAATTAATATAAAATCAAATTCAATATAATTAAAGTAACAAATTAGATAACATCTATATATATATAATTGCTGGCTCATGAGCATTTAATAAAACCTATTAAATTATACCTATGTGGCAATATAATTTTTTCCCTCCAAAAGCTGTTACTTTTAATTTATTTAACCTCTCATTTAATTATTTGATAATCAACACACTAATCACTTCAAAATTACAAAAAATATTTTAGACTTTGATTTACTTACATTTAACCATATAATATGTTGACTATTTGACGTGATTAGATGTTATTGTTGTGGTTACATTTAAATTAACTTCTTTTGAAAAATAAAAAACGTATTTGAAATTTTTAAATAAATAATAAATAATTCACAAAAAAATACATACTAAAATATACATTACATCCAATATGATAAACACAATTTAAAAAAATAAATATTTGAGCTCCTTTAATTGTAAATTTAGCCGGCAAAAAAGTGCAAGAAAAATCTGTAATCATTATATGCATACAAATAACTTACAGTGCTTTATTTATATCTTTGCAAATGCACAGGCCGAATACTAGTAACATTTTAAATGGGTTGAAAATATCAACTTACGTCATCCCATTAGAAACCAATAGACGTATCAAAATTTTAAATGTTTGAGGAAAAAATTAATTGTTCTTTCTATAAGAATTTTATTTTAACATAAGGAAAAATCTACATGGGTGTTTATTAAATGTTACAAAAACACCCGTGTAGAAAAATCAATAAACAAAATCTTTCTTTAATTTTCAACATAAGGAAGAAATAAATAATAAATATTTATTAATATATTTAAAAATATATTTTTGAATTTGAAATAGAGTAAAAGGCGGGATAATTTAAATTTGTTTTAAAAAAGTTTCTAAAGTGTTTAATATTCTGGTAAATACACATGTAGTGCCCCGTTTGTTTCTCTTGAATTTTAGCATTTTATTTCATTCTTAGCTCGCTTTTATTTATTTATTTGTTTGATTTTTCGCTTTTATTTCATCTTATTATTATTCGCGTTTAATTATTATTATGTGCTCGTTTGTATGTACTCGCTTCATTTATTATGATTGCATTGTTCTTTTTATATGTTATGTGCTTGCCTTATTTTTATTTTATTTTATGCGCTTGATTAATTTTATTTAATAGTTAGTTAGATCGTCCAAATTCTCTGTTGGAAACGCGTTGTACTCTTTCGAGCTCTTTTTCCAAGCAAGCCGTGTGTTTGATAGTCGGCTCAATTTATTTGGAAAAAATTTTGGTGTATTTGGATAAATTTTATTCGACCATATTCGTTTTTAATTTCAGCCCTTTTATGTCAATTTAATTCCCAGCCCAAATGATTAAATTTCTGGCTCAATAAGTTATTTGTTTCAGGCCCTTGAGAGTTGATTCTGGCCCATTTTCTTTGTAAATATCTCGGCCCAAACCTTTGAACTAATGCAGCAGATATTTGTTTTTTCTTTTCTCTCAGCAACCTTCCTTGAGCATCTCCAATGTGGTATGTTGTTGTGGTGAAAAATATGCCATGTAATAAATTATTAAAATATCAATCACATTTTTTTTTCCAATGGTAATATAAATATAGATGTTGTGCTGAGTTGGCCTCTGCACTGTGATAGAGACTGTGGAATATCTACACCCTTCTCTATGACTCAACCAATTTGGGGAGAAGAGGCAAACAAAATTCTCAAAATCGTCGAAAATTTGCAGGCACTCAAATTTTACCAATCGTGAAATTGCAATTTCCTCTCGCACAACTGAACCAAGGACTACTTTGCTGGGAATTATTTCGCCAAGAAAATACAATTGCAGATTCAACAAAAAGTTCCTGGTACGTGAGTCTCTTTCTTTCTTTATTCTAGATATCGATCCACTTTTTATTTTTCCTTTTCATAACTGATGTTCAATTATTGTAGGATTTGGTTGATTTGAATTGAATTTAGTTGAATGAAAATGTTCAAATATTTGTGCGTGTGAGTTTTCCCCGTTGGTTGAGAAGATTGTTTGACTAATTCTTAGGTCGAATGTTAGGTCACTATTTGGACAATCATTTGATCTCTTTTTGTGATAACATGTGATAAGAGGAGTCAAATGCAATTTTTTTGTTAAAAAAAATTGAATAAAGATTCGATCTTTAATCATCTTGTTTGTCCAGTTGCTGTTGGGGTATGGTTAGAGTGTGCTTACTTGGTAGATAATCTGATGCTAAACTTCTCTGATTTATGATGGGCAGAGCATTTTTTTGTGCCCTGAGTTCTGTGTTATCTTAATTCAAAGCGGGGATACAGGCCTATTGATGACGGGGCTTGAGATTAGGGCTTTCAAGCGAAATTCTGAAAGAGGGGAAGATGAGAACGAAAGGACGGGAGAAGCGAAGAAGAAGGAGAAACCAATTGGAGAGTTCATATCCAACGGAGCTCACCCAATGGAAGATGGCCTTCTTAATGAGCTCTCTCCCTTTACTTTATCGGTAGAGCATTTATTGCTAGATCTGATTGAGATTGATTTCTTCCACTGTCTATGTTTTCAAACATTTCATCGATGTCGACATTTTCTTCATCTCAGCCAGTTTCTGCTTGCTCCGCACATGCTACATCTCGGCCTTTCATTGATATTCTTTGAAATTCATTTTAGAAGCTGGGGGTACCACGCAATCCGTTTAGATCTATTTCAGTTGCCAACGAAATGGAATATGGGGAACTCTCCTTGTGTTATTGCTTTTCATAAGTTGTTGAGTTTTTGAACAAACATATGAAAGCTACTAAAAAAATTGAATCTTTGTTTCTATAGCTCTTTTGATGAGTTGATTATATACGTGCAGTTGAGGAGCTCCTTTGGTAAAACAGGTACATGAAGGAGTGTTTTTGGTTTCTCAGAAAATTTACAAATATTGTCCAAACTTTGTTCTCATATTTTCATGTTTTGCTGGTACATGAAGGAGTGTTTTATTAATTTGTTTTTATTTTACGTGGTGTTTAGTAGATTGTTAATTTTTCTTTGTAAAAAAAGGGGCCCAAAATTTGGGCATATTGAAAATTTGACCCCAAAATAAAAAACTTATAAGAACTCATACTATTTAGGAGTTATTCACATTGTGCATTGAGGAACACTTAAAATTTTAGAAGTTGTGGACACAACATTCATCTCACATAACCTTTCTTTAACTGACACATGACAAAAGTAATTCACTTACAATATTACACATTGGAGATGCTCTTATTTTGTTTCCCTCGTGCGTCAAGTGTCAAGATTGAAATCTGGTTGCGCTCTTTTGTGAATTTTCTTGCGCGTTTGTTGTAGTTTATTTTGCCGGAGCAGAATCGAAAGATTCGAACACCGGGTCGTATCTCTCGAGGAAGGCGGTTCGGAATTTAGAATTGGTATTGATAACACAAAAAAGAAAAATAAATATTAAACACTCTAATCAGATTTGGGAGGAATTAACTATCAACTAAGAAATAGCATAAAAGCATAAATCCTAAAATACCAACTAAATAATAATAAAGAAACTAGAGAATCGGGGATAATTTATTCAAGTTCGCAACGTAAAGCCAGGCAATTGATCGTTCGGTTCGGAATTGACACTCTCGCCTACACGTCTAGCGGTTCACTCCCAATAACTCTTCGTAATAAGGAATTGAACATAGACGAGCAAGTTTGAGCATACAATACCGGCCAAGTATCCAATCCCAATAACTTTTCGTAACAAGGGACAAGACACCAACAAGCATGTATTTCTATCCAAAACCCATAGATTATTCAGTTACGAAATTATCTATCTCATGCGAGCCTAGGTCTACGACTTTTCCCCTTTCGGTTCTAAAAGTCGCTAATTCAATTAGAAGGTGTTTAATCAACTAATCATGTAGGATCAATAAACCCTAACTCAACAAATCAATATTCAAGCGCAAAATCGAAGTGTCACTCTTCGATTATATCAATAAATTAACCTAAGTGTCACTCTTAGGTTATATCAAATCTTCAAGCAAGAATTCATCAATTCCTAATTAATTTACTCGCACAAGAACAAACGAATCAAGCCCGACAAATACACGTTAAACGAGAACAATCATCCCCTATCCCTAGCAATAGGAATTAGCCACACAAAATAAATTCAACACAGTCAATCATTTCTTCCAATTCAACCATTTTCATGAATTAAACAAGAAGAAAAACTTACAATTAATCTCAATCCAAGTGTTGAATCCAAAAATACAAGCTTAATTCCTAAAGTGTAAAGAAAAAGAAAATGAGAAAGAAATGGAGAGGAAAGATGGAGAAGAAGAAGAAGAAGAAGAAGAAGATGGAGAGTGGAGAAGAGGTTTTTCGAGCTAGGGTTCGCACCCAATCGCTCCCCTTTCTCCCCCTTTCAAAAATCGCAGAAACAGGTTTTTAAAGGTTGAATCATGACTTCCGCGGCCGCGACTTTTCAGCTGCAGAAATGACTCGCGGCCGCGACTTGCCTCCGCTGCCCGCGGTGAAGAAATCTGGACTGCATTGCGCGACTTTACGTTTTGGGCTCGTTTTGGCTCATCCGAACTCGGAATTGAGTTCCGTTTTTTGCTATGCATCACCAACGAACCCATCTATCCAGTTATGCTCTCAAAACCAACTTTTCATGAAGAGAAAATTCGCCCAAAGCTCCTGACCTACACACCAAAAACGACAAAACACAAAAGAAAACCGGAAAAACAAACGAAAAACACCTAAAGACTCAAGGTGAAGGAAAACACATAATAAAACACGAAACAGACTAAAAACTAAAGAAACGACCTAAAATGGGGGAAAAAGAAAGATAAAATAAACACGAAAAACGCAACAAAAATGAGACAAACAACTCCCCCACAGTTAAACCTTTGTTCGTCCCGAACAAAAAGAAAAGAAAACAAGACATGAGCATGAATACAAATTCAAATAAGAAGAGTTTCAAAATGTCCAATGCAACCAGGTCGAATTCTAACGACCGTGAAACCATATGCCTCAAATATAAACTTTGCCTCGAAATGACAAACTCTCAAACGCATAGATTATAATATAGTCCTCACTCATTTTCTTACATGAATATGTGATAGGTACGCTCAAAATTGGTCAATATTCAAGTTTCAACATATGCTTGCCAATCGTTTAAATTACTAGAAAACAATAAAAGCTCAAAAGATGCGAATAAAGAGGACTTCACGGGTTGTAATGTGGCTTAGGTAAAGGTATGAATATATAAGGACAAGAAGCTCAAATAGACAATCAAGGTTCTCGAGTATACTCAAGCATTCCGCTACTCATCCCGAATCAACAAGGCAAAACACTTACTACCCAACCAACATTCCACAAACAACACATAGATGCTCAGAACAAGTTGCAACATCATCACTTAACCTTATTTTTTCTTCTTTTTCTTTTTTCTTTTTTATTTTTATTAGGAGAGTAACTTTTTCCCAACAAGATTGAATCAAAAGGACAACATTCTGTAAGTGTGAACATTGGAGGTCATCCAAGTTTCCTACAGTAGTTTCCCAATGCTCATTGCCTGTCAAAATGAATCGACTAGTAAGAGGAGCAGAATCCATTCGATTCGTCCTGTGAACTCTCAAGTTTTTTTTTTTTTTTTTTTTTGGTCAAGCAATAGAAATCCAACTCCAATTCACCTCATTCAACAACGACACCATTTTCACCAATCATCACAAAATCAGTCAACAAAATACATTATATGCATGGCTGAGAAGAAAAGGCTCAAGGCTCAAACGGGCTACTAGGGATAAAACCGTTTTGGGTCAAAGAACAAGGCTAAAGATAGCTAATCAAACAAAACGCCTCAATCACTTTCGCAATTTCAAACTTTAATCGATTCCTTTCAAACAAACTCAAGGCAAGTTCTAATCATTCAAGAATATGACCAATGTCTCACAAGAAAGAAGAGTAAGGATCAAAACCTCACAAGGCAAATATATGTCACTCAAAGCAATCAAGCATATACCGAGACAACGACCACACGTCCGTCATCACAACTTCCCAATTTCATCAAACGTTCATCAACAAATCATATAATCCGCCAATACCATGCTCAATAACACAAAAACCTAAAACTAGTCCGGCCCACTATATAAGCATGCTAAAATCCGAATAACTCCCCCACACTTAAAATGAGGCAATGTCCTCATTACTTCAACACCAAACATGAAGTCAAACAAAGGACCTAGAAATTTCATATAATGAACCAATACTAGTAGCTAACACAAGAATAAAAGACTCAAAAGCAAAGACACGAAGCTACCACACAAAGATAAAAAGAGAAAAGGTGTGCAAACCGAAGTGTATCGAGGAGAGTAAGCGTTCACGTGCAAGCCATTCGCCCTCTCTCAACCCAAAAATCTCGATATTCCTCAATCAACGCAATCCTCCTGCTCGAGCTCACGAACACGTACCTGCTAAGAAAAACACAGAACTCCAAAACTCCCATTATTCCAAGATAAAATAAAAGAGCAAAAAGAAAAATTATCTAAGAAAGCGATAAATCACTTGGGTTGCCTCCCAAGAAGCGCTTGTTTTACGTCATTAGCTTGACGAAACCTGTGAGGAACTCAGCCAGGGTCCAAGAAGAAGTGACGATCGTGCCACGCCTTTGTATTCTCGAGAAGTGGCAGTGCTGGCTCTAAGGCCAGAAGGCGGGCACTGTGGGCACGAGTGGCTATGTTCTTGATGTAGTGAGTCTGTTCACGAGCAATCTCCAATGTTTGGAACAGAGCCTTCCCTAACCGAGCTCCCTTGTCAACCTCGACAATCAAAGGCACATCAATGGAGCAAGTCGAAGAAAATACCATCACCTCCGGAAAGCAGTGCCGTGGCCTCGGAGGCGGATACTCCAACTCGAAGGTAGGAGGAGGGTCTTGTGAATCGACCTCCTCCTCTAATGCATCGTACCCGGTTCGTGGGAGAATGTCATCCTCTTCGGCCTCACACATTTGCTGAAGCATGAGGTGTGGGTTGTCGACTTGTGCCTCAATCGAAACGAGACGTACAGTGAGGCTCTCTATTTGTGTGCTCAGCCGAGTACATCCGAGCTCAATCTCCTTTTCTTGGTTTGCTCGGGCCATCATCCAATCGAGGATGAGGTCGAGCTTGGCATTATACTCTGAGGAGTCGTCCTGGAGCTCATTTAGTTGCTCGGGTATGGGATGTGGGTCCACAACCTCGAGCTTGTGGGCCTGGGACTCGATCGAGTCGATGCACCTTGCTAGACTTTCCACTTGCTCGCTCAATCGGGCACATTTGAGCTCAATCTCCTCCTCATGTTTCGCTCGGGCCATCAATCGATCTAAGATGAGATCGAGTTTGGCATTGTATGCGGCCTCTTCTTCTCGAGCTGATTTGGACTCTATGAAATCAAGAATCTGGTCGAGCTTCTCGTTAAACTCGTGGGATTCATAAGTTTGCTCAACCGGAAAATCGTTCCAGCACTGCTCGGAAGAATACGGGCAAGGTTGGGTGTGGTACCCAGGGAAACAGACCGACTCGTCGTTCCAAGATGGGTAGAGCAGGGAGGAGTACCCATGATTGAAGTTCATTGTACCTGCACACCAGAACCAAACAACCACGCGTAGCCAAGGAAAAAGAAGAGAAAAGAAGGC